GCAAACGTTTGCAGAGTTTAGTGCTGTCATCTATTTTTTGTAAACGGTTGCTTCCCGAGGTAAACGCTAGCTACTCAAATGTTCCATAAACAAATCACCAATAGGGGACACCAGAGATCCCACTGGAAATTATTTTTATTGTTCTCGTATCTGACCGTTGAATTCAAAAAAATGAATCCAGTACGACATACAGCCATATAGTTTAAGGATGTAGCTTATCGACAAAGTTATTTTATTCGTAACCAGACCAACATCTTTCGTCATTTGTTTTTAGGCTAGATCTATTACTAACTCCGCGGAAATTTCCGTGGGAAGATCTCTTACACCATGGCAACTTCAGTGTTATTCGTCCGCGAAACAACTTCCTGAGCAAAGGTTTCTGAGTTCTTAACAAACGATTTCCTTGGCCTGTACATGAGTGAACGCTAGGACGAAATAGTGCGATTACAGTCAAGATGCATGCTGATGTCGTAACAGTATGACTGATTAATGCATTCGGCTTGAGATTTTGGTAGACGATGCAACTCAGGGATGGACCTGTTGTACGTGTACGGAAGCTTCGGTATTAATCTCTTTGAGTGGTTTATATTTCGCCATCTCTGTCGTAGCATTGCTCAAAGACCTTGTCAGTCGGTTTGTTGGATTTTTATTCAGCCGCCAAGACCCTTTGCTAAGCACTTTTGCACAGCTAGCGATATACTTCCTTTTTTTTCGAAACTGCTGTCGCGTTTCTTTTACCTACTTTGACAATGTCAACGCTGTCGTTATTTTATATATCTTTCAAGGCAATTAATTCGAGCTTACATATGATTCACAATATGTGCATATACACAGTACGCAGATTTTTCGCTCAAAGGTGGTCGAATAGCTGCGTACTCGTAACACAGCTATCACAATGACATCGACTGTTTATTGATGGTACAGACTACTGAGGGCTGTACTCCATCCGCGGACAATTCGTTCGGCATGCGAAAACTGGTTGCCATGTCGGTACGACTACCCAGGGGTGTACAACTTCATTCACGAAACGCAACTGCTTATTATATGTGCTACGTCCAACTGGTCCTTTAAGAAATCTTCTTCTAATGCTAAGATCAGATAGTGCCATGGATCACTGGCATAACGTGGGAGCCATGTCATCCATCATTCGAAGATGAAACCATGTTGCGTTATCACTATCATCGAGTTTACACCATGTGATAATCAACCAACCAGAAAATCGTGGTAGGTGGGTCATACGAAGTGCAGGAGTGCGAAAGTTATGCATCAGACATGGCCGCACGTCTCATTTATTCTGACATGGCAATACCAGAATACGTTCGTGATCTGTATTCTTTCAGATAAAGTCATAAACTTTCTGCTCGCTTCGCGGCTGACTTCGCAGAGGCATTGTTGGGAAAATTCAGTATTCAGGGCACCAGAGGGAAAGAAAAATTTCTTTTGGGTAGCGTTGCTCTTAACTGAACTAATGGAGGGTCATGTCCTCCTTAACAGAGTAACGACAGTAGACTACGGAAACATAGTTCAAAGTTTCCTGATTAACAGTTACACCGCTACGATAAAGTTAAGTGAAAAAGAGACTGTTACGGATCGCATTTTATTAAGTATTGCAACAGTACACTACAGTGAGCAGTGACTGCCTTGCAGCCATGAGCCGCGACGGTTCGCACTGCCAGAGCAACGTCGATCTGTGTAATTTATATGAAGTTCCAGTGACAACAGCCCAAATGACAGAACGGTGAGATGAACACGCAGCAGGCATTCTGTTAACACTTTCCGAAACGGTCACAAGCATTTTCAAAATGTTACACGACAGAAGATGTTTGCTTCGAACAGAACGAAAACACATTTTTACAACATGGCCAGCCGCAACGTCGGTGACTCTACAGCACATGGTCCACGCTTCACGGAAAAGCGAGCGGCAAACGGACGGACGGAAGAACGGAAGGAAACGAAAGCATTTTGAACGTCGCGCTTTCCTGCCATTAAGTAAGCATCAGGACATGAGTGATGGATGTGTGCGATTTATATTTCACGATCACCAAGTATCTGAAACGACCGCAACGCTAACATAAGATGAGATTTTCAGCGCGGCGTTTCGGCGTTCGATGAAAACTGGCTTTTAGCCGACGACGACTCCGTCAGAGAGTACATCCTTATAAAAGCACCGCTTCGACAGAAAATCGTCGATGGAGTGTTAATCCTCAGGGTGATGTTGCGGTTACCGACGTCAACGCCGACACCGACACCGACGTCCTTGCGGCACGTCGTCATAGTGTTTGCCATAGGGTCGGTCGACGACGAGCCACCGCGGACGCCGCCGACCGAGTCCTGCAGCGACCGGCTAGGCTGTGACTGACCGTTTGCGTCCACCCATGTGCGGATCTTCGTCTTTTTACCCTTTACGATGAACGTCAATTTTTTCGTTGCTAGATTGATCAGCAACCGCGGCAGGGGCTCAATGCTGGTCTGCGCACGCTCACCGATCTCTTCTACTTCTTCGGAAGAATCGTTCTTTGGCCACACACCGGTCTGCATCGGTGGCAAAGCTTCGCGCTCATTTCGCTTGTCGTCTCCGGACAGTTTCAACGACGTGAAGTTCAAAACCTTTTTGATACGTTTGCTTCGTCCGTTTACCCGTAGATGATTCGTCTGCGTGTTGTTGGCGATCGACTTCTGTTTCACACTGCGACGACTTACGTTCAAATACTTGGACACAACTTTATGACCAATTTTCGACCTATAACCATGGGAACCTTTAGGACTGGCGAATCTGAAACGAAACCACACTCAGTTACAGAGGTAATCGAAAAACTCCTCTGCAAGTTAAAGAAACATAATGCGTAACACCAGATCAAAATTTGCACGCATCAAACCAAACGTCGCAAACCATCAAACTACTCCGTTGTCAAGTACAACCGATTATTCACAACGACATGCAAATTTATCCGTTCATTTAAGAAAAGGAATATCGCCAAAATATGACTGAATAATTCAAAAGCGGCGACTCAATTTACCGAACCATAATTCCGTCCGTTTATATCAGGCAGTGCAAATTTACCTACGACTTCAGTTTCACAATACAATACGAAAAATTCTTTATAAAAAGGATTTTAGAAAAATACAGGGCGGCGACGATATACAGTATTAATTCGCGCCTTTTAATCGCTGCAATGAAGCAAATAGTGTGTGTGCGTAAGAACGTGACGGCGGTAACCCTGACTTATTTAGCCACAAATGATGAACGTCGCGTGATGGTTCTCACCCAGTCCTAGTGATAACCACACAGCCATCTTTCTACGTATTCCACAGACAGTCGGTCGTAAAACTTTTTGGACCTCATGGACGTTAGACTTCACCACGTCCGTCGAGGTATTGATTTAGCCACTCCATTTTGTACTTAAATATCAGATTCAGGGTATCTGTCCTACGGTGAACACAATCGGCTAGTGGTTAAGGGGTAAGACACCGAAACGTATGCTCAACAATTGGCAACAAACGACAAGCTTAGAAATTAGGCCGTTTACAAAACGGGTGGTGTATGCTGTCGAAAAACTGATTAACACTGGTATTACAGATGATACGTTAAAACTCGTTAAAAAGAACACGTGGCAGCTTTCGAACATGAACATGAACAATATTCTGCTACTGTGAAACAAGCTAATGACGACATACACCGTTTCACGACAGACGAATCCTTTCTGATCAAAACACTTGGAGTGGTTTGTGCAAGCGAGGAATTAAGCTTCAAAGATCTTTCACCTAGTTGAAATCTCATAATTAATAGTTCAGTTTCTACTATCTAATCATCTAATCTTCATTGGTTTTTCTTTTCTTCCTTGTTTATATTATTTTCTCCATCCTTTCGATCTTTCACGTTTGTCATCGAATGCAGTTCGCTCCCACTCAGCAATGGCAGAGCCGGATTGGCCTTGCTCAAACTCGCCCAGTTTCCACATCGTTCACCAGCAATACCTTTACGACTGCGAGTAAAATGCCTTCACCGTAAGCTTTTCTCCATCACAAAAAACTGTGCATTTTATAATGAAATCACGAGTTTATAGGCTGGAAGCTGGCCAGATGCATCTACATTTGATCCTAGCAAATTAGTAATCCGGATATTTCATATATAGGTCCGCAGTCTGCCTAAATGGTGCAGCTCACAAAAGAAATGATTTACGAGCTCATTATCAATGGTCCAAAAAAACGAAAGTTTAATATTTACCCATTTTCTGCACTGAAAACAAAGATCGCTGAAAAATTTAATCTGCATTTTCAGGCCACCCAACGTTTTCGATATGATTGCCAGTTCTAATCAGCCAGTATCTACGATACAATTATTCCAGCGTGAATGGCATCATTTCCACAAAAACTTAAATATTTAAACGCAACGAGTGCAGGAGTTAATTTCTGGCAGTTAGGGCATCATTAAAAGCAAATGAATTGCACAATTCAAAAATAAGCAAATGTCTCACTGCAGAGTTTAATGACTGTAAACATTAATGTCACAATTCACTGACTTGCTGTTTGCCGCAACAGGTAAATAAAAGTTCGCGAAGTGAAACTTGCATCGATAACTAGGGCCAGGAGAAAAGGGAACATTCCAGAACATTAATAAATCTATTGACGAAAATCGTAACATATTACCGCTTGAAACCGACCATGGCTTCAGGATTCAGCCCCGAGTTCGATTATCACTTTTCTCACGTCAACAAACGCGTACCAATTCGTGAGAATGAACGACGCTACGCAGCGTTTAAATCTGTTGAGATGAATTTATTTTTGTAGCATAAAGCAGTCAGCACACTGCGAAAGGTTTTCGCTACGTAACAGTTTCCGAATCAGACGTGTACGTTAAACACAACGCACTCAAACTGTCTGTCAATACAAAAGGTTAACGCTTTGAACTGAACGCCGAATAACTTTCAATCCATACAGAACCTGCATGGACAGATGACCACTCAGACAGTAACATATATACTGAAGACAGAATCTCCCTGAACATTCAACGGCGTTCGTCATTTGAACTCTAAACAAAATTAAAAATATTTTTGGAGAAAAATCTCGACAGATTATCAATACAAATCTTTTTACGCACATGAACTGGTTGTCCAGTGATATGGTGTTCCGACTACTGTAACTAAAAGCAAACGTATAACCCTCTCCTTTTTTCGGTTGTTTATTTTTGCCTCTTCGTCATAAGTAAACGAATCACGGTGACAATGCATGCGCTTCTGGAAATGTAGAATTTCGAACTCGGTGAGTTACCTCGGTTGGCTGTCACAGCTGATTCACCACAGGGCAAACCCATGACTCGAGTCACGGTCATGAGTCAATTGATATCAAACAGTGAACCCCACAACAGAACTCTACGTGGTTAAGAAAAAACTTGAATTTTATAAAACTCAAGGAGGTTACTACCGCGCGTCAAAAGAATCGCAATAAGTCACAGACAGACATCTGCGTCATTTAAAAACTGCATACTTGGAGGACTCAGACACCGGCTTCGTCAGCTTGCGAATTCTGCGCCGAATGCTTCTCGTCTTTTTCGGAAGTCCGTCTGCGCTGAGTTCGCCTAAAACAGTAGCAGCCATAAAGGATACTGCATGAATGGCATTATAGGTAATCGTACCGTTAGAAAGTCGCCTTTGAAACTCGACACAGGCATGACTAAGGTATTCGTTTTTTAAGAAACTAAAATTTAAAAAAAACTTCATCACCTCTAACGACAACAAAGAAACAGTGACGGGCATGGCTTTAGACGCCGAGAGCATTATTGATGGAAAAACGTCAATTTTTTTTGGCAAACTGCAACGACATCAAAAAAATACTGCGCATCAACAAATTGATTAAAACCGTTAGGAACATATGTGCGAGGGGTAAATAATAACGGAAAATAAGACGAACGGAAAAAGATGGACATGTAGTGCGTCAAAACCGACATACGTATGTCTGCGATGTGAGAACGTGCCATTCTACACGTGAGACAACAAACAAAAATAACTGGTCGCTAATTACCAATGGTATCAAGTCCAAGTTTATTACTCTATGACAGCTGCAAGAACAATTGCTTTTCCGCGATATTACCTTCCACTACGTACGCAGTTGTACAGGCAGAATATTGATAAAATAATACATAAATTTTCTTCATTTGCACTGACGTAGAAGCGATTTTCAACGCTGAGACTCTGTCTAAGAGTGATTTCTTAGAGCAATACCTAGGTATCGAAAAAGGAACGAAGCACATGAGGCATAACAGATTCGTGAAAAGTGTTTGTTCTCGGTATTCAGATGAAGCTCGAACGAATCTAACGACGCAGAGAATGCCCTTTGGCAATAGATTTGTGCAATGAATGTTCCTCGTTGTTCAACATCACGTGCCAGTGATGATCATTGCAACAACGTAAAACAGTGAAATGTACTGAATAGACGTAACCCACAGTAATAATGACGAACCAACATATAAGGCAGCAGCGTACATCATCATCGAGATGACCGAGTTTCACACAAACCGCCAATGAGTCTTGTTCAGCAAGCCAATGCGTCGAATGCGTACCGCATAATACGATGTTTTCCGCAGCTGCCCTGCAATCCGTTTTGGTTGGTCATTCCGCATCTACATGTCGTTTATGGTCAAGCCCAAGTAAACACCACTGGGCGCCTGCTCCACTAATTCCTCTTAGAGACGACCGATGCATACCGTTAGACCGCCCGTTAGATGCATACCGTAAAACTTTATTGCCTGTGTTGTGAAACAAGAACACAGATTCGCTGCATTTCTGTCCGATGAACACGAGTCACTTAAGTTCGGTCTCTAAGACAGGTTTTCAACATCGTGCATTCCACCATATCATGAACGTTTGTCACGGAGGAGCTGACCGTAGTGTCATCGGCATATTTCATACAGTGGCTGAGTTCTGTACCCGGCACTCGTTGATAAAAATGAAGAATAAGAGGGGCAACGAAACGGAATTCTAAGGGACGCTCTGGTTGTGAAGTCTCAGTGCCAAGTAACCCACTGCTCACAATAAACTGTCAACAATTTGATAAATAAATTGCCAAGGTTTGGATGACCTTTGGATGAAAGTGTAGATGGTCTCGTCAACTAAGAAATGCGACCCTGAATAAGGTGCTAAGTGGAAATGAAAGGGCCAGGAACAGCGTCCGTACGAATCGTTTACCCGCGTCAAGTTCTAGTACGAAATTAATGAGCCGTACAAGAGCGCCTGTTGTACCAAAATGACGCTTGAAGCCTAACTGCATAGACAGAAATGTCTGACAGTGGAACTAGCAGATGTTCGAAACATTTAAAACGGAATGAAAGATCGGAAAAGAATTGAGATAGAACGGTGGAACGAAAACGACGAATGAGGATGAGCAATGAGTTCACCTCATTTTAACATAAGAATGACTTTTGGTACTTCAGCCTTGGAATAAGCTACCAGAAAGACAAATCATTCTGATTAGAGCCGTTCAGTCGGTATGTGCCAAACGTGCAGCTCGACACTGCGAAAGCGAATCTCGTTCCGATCATATCTCACCTTGATCTCGATCACTGATCATCACTCATCCCCATTATCACTCATCTTTCAGCCGTCTGTGGTAGAAAACCGAACAACACTGTAGGAAAGAAAGACAACACTACGCTGTATGGTGGCCAGTTAGATGCGCGTACTACGTAGAAAATAAGGCAGCAAAAAAAAGATCAGCGCCAAGCCACAAGCTCCAAGGAAAAGAGTGCCCAAAGTATGCCCATCATAGAAGGTAAACGCAGGCGCACGACGAATAGGTCAAGCATAACGCAGTCATTTTAACTGTCACACAGCAACATGCCGAAAATGAAAAATCAGTGAATATAGTTGGTTCCGTTGTTCGAAAGTAATCAAAACTTGGTGCTAATGAGCCAATAATTAATAATTTGAGGAAACAACGGTGATCTTCGCTATGGTTTTTCTTGTTGGACTCTCTGACACTTCAGACAACATTCAAGCATTTGCTAAGATCTGTTTAATCGCTGGTTCATCTCAGCAAGAAAGCTGATTACCGTCCTTACGTAACACCATTCGAGAATTCTCAAAATGATCACCTGCCGGCGTCATTAAACCGTTCCATAATAGTCAACAATACTGTTTTGGTTGTGAGCGAAGGGCTGCCGGTAATCTTTCAAACATAACGCCTTTTGACAGGTCAGAACAATACATATCGTTGTTATTTACTATTCGCCTGATTCCGTTTGTCGTTATTCACCGCTTAACCCCTTCGTAATTAAAATGCAAGGTATGCGCAAGGAACCGGGTTCGAAGGACAAATATACTAAAATTAATGAACTGCCTTTCTACAATGCTAAAACTTCAAGAATAAGCATGTTCACAATGTAAAGCTTCACTGTTATCGAACCTCGAAGAAGTTCTCGCTAGATTAACTCTTATCTTCAAAGTTTCGAGATGGCAAATACTCAGAGCAAAATCGAAACGAAACCGATCAACGCAACTACCTATCAATAGCATATAGCGAAACTACCTGTCTTCAAGTCTCTACACACACTAACCCTCAGCTATGATCTCAGATACAGGTTATTGACCAAAAAATGTAATCCTGAATATAAGCGGCAGAAATAAAGTTTCTTCAAAAAACCGCAAGTGCGACGAGACTCAGATACGGCAGCTTCATATGATTCGTTCGTGCTGCAGGTTGACAGATGATCACTGCGACAATTTGGAAATGGACTCGCAGAGTGAAATTTCA